TTTGTATATATATCAATGAAACATGTTTGTTTTTTAAACGTTTTTTGTAATTCAGTATTTTTAAATTTCACAGGTTCCTGGTGTGTATATGCATGCCTCAGATAATGAACTCAAGCCCACATTACCGTGTTAACATGCCTTTCAATCCTTCCTGCACATTCTTTTCAAACTAAACTTTGCTTTAAACTCTTGTGTGCTTGGGAAAAATACAAATTGTAATGTTAAAAATCAAAAAAAAAAAAAAACTTGACAGGTTAAAAACTTAAGATAGATCACAAGATAGAAGTCAATGTCACAAATGAATAACTTATTTTAGAGTCACAGTAGGTTTATACAAGATAATACTATCAATTTAATGTGACTTTTCTAGAGAATCATTATACAGTTGTTTTATACAGGGTTTCCACAGTCTTACATAATTTCAGAATTCCCTGACTTTTAACTGACTCAGGATTAGTTTTCCCTGACAAAATAAATGCAGCAACAAGACAATAATAATAACATAACAGGTCACCAATTCAACATGTTTTGCTCTATAACATTTAAATGCACCTCTCCAATGTCTGAGAGAAAAAAAAATGAATGAACATTTTTTAATGTATGACCACTGTACAGAAGACTGCCATATGATAGCGCTTTCTAGCTTGTTTGTCGTTTTGGTAACTACATCAAAATTACCGCTAGGTTGACAAAAATCACGTAAGAATGTGTACAAAACAACAAAAATGGCGCCGGCTGGGTCGTTTTCAGCTAATGTCGGTGATTTTAAAGTAATTTTAAGTGATAAATAATTTTTTTGCGATCACTGCACTCGCCCGGCGGGCAAATGCAATGAAATTTGTACTCTCCCGACAATAAAAAGTACTTGCCCCGGGCGATCGGGCAATGGTTAACATCGAGCCCTGATAAATATATATATATATATATATATATATATATATATATATTCCTTAACACAAATACAGATCAATGAATACAACTGCATGAATCTGCTGCTCACAAATTGAATTTGTGGTTTAGTTAAGCCTTCATTTTAACTTTTGACACAAGTCACACCGGTCAAAATTATCTGTGACTTGTTGGTAGTACCCTTTATTGGACAGCAGGGGGCGCTGCCTGCTCGACCAGGCTGTGCAAATGCATATATGGCCTACTGCCATGTTGCCTTCTGTCGTTTATCCCTGCGAGAACTTGTATCTCCTCGTCGGGAGCGCGCACGCAGTAGATAGAGCTGAATATAGCAGAATATCACCAGCGATATTGAGGTTCCTTAAAAAAAAAAAAAAAAACTCTTGTTTCACGGTGTGTAAATATTCTCATGTTATTGAAAACTGTTGTAAACCATATTCTTGTAATAAAAATGAAATAAGTGAAATAATAATAAGTAGTACATAATAAGTGGTACTTATTATGTACTTATTATAGGCAATACCCAGTAGGAATATTACTTTTTCCTAAATCGAAGCCTAGTATCTTATCCTAATCTTAAGAATGTGTATGTTCTTATACTGAATGTAGATGGGGATACAATTCTGGCAATATGAAATGAGAAAAAAAGCCTGATGTTGAAACAAACACTGTTTATTAAGAATAGGTCAACATAGAAAAATTCTAAGTCAATATAAAACACAAATGTAGATTTGATTACTAAATTAGAAAGATAACCATATGAAATCATCAAAGGAATAGTACACCCAAAACATGATTAGCCTTCATTTTCTACTCACCCCCATGCTGAACAACACTCTGGAGTACTTTTTTGATATCTCAAATGCATCTGGAGATCTGGGAGGCTTCTTGCTGTCTGCTGACATTCAAATAATGGAGGTGCCCAGCGCCCGAGGCAGAAAGGTCCATAAAAGTCCACAAAAAACGTGTCAATATTCCTCCATACTGCTCGTCCAGTGTATTCCAAGTGTCCTGAGTGGGTAGCATCCAGAATTTACTCGGAACGAAGTTATTTAGAATGTTTTTAGAGCATAAACAGTAGTATATAGGATTTCCTGAAAGCACGTTCACGACGCTACGGAAACCGCGGCAGACCAAACCAGATGAAAGTGCGCATTCAGCTCGGCAAAGAACTCATGCTCTTCCTCAACACTGAAGTCCTCAGACATTTTTCTTTCGCTGTTTCTTTCTTTGCACAGGTAAACAGCACATTTCTTCTTCTATGCTTGCATTATTGGCAGAGCAGACGCTGAATGCGCACTTTCATCTGGTTTGGTCTGCCGGCTTCCGTAGCGTCGTGAACGCGCAGGTGCGCGCTTTCAGGAGGAATATTGACACGTTTTTTGTGGACTTTTATGGACCTTTCTGTCTCGGGCACCATAGACCTCCATTATTTGAATGTCAGCAGAGAGCAAGAAGCCTCCCAGATCTCCAGATGCATTTGAGATATCAAAAAAGTACTCCAGAGTGTTGTTCAGCATGGGGGTGAGTAGAAAATGAAGGCTAATCATGTTTTGGGTGTACAGGTGCTGGTCATAAAATTAGAATATCATGAAAAAGTAGATTGATTTCAGTAATTCCATTTAAAAAGTGAAACTTGTATATTATATTCATACATTACATACAAACTCATATATTTCAGATGTTTATTTTGTTTAATTTTGATGATTACAAATGACAACAAATGAAAATCTCAAATTCATCATATCAGAAAATTAGAATATTGTGAAAAGGTTCAAAATTGATGGCCCCTGGTGCCACACTCTAATCAGCTAATTAACTCAAACCACCTGCAAAAGCCTTTAAATGGTCTTTCAGTCTAGTTCTATAGGCTACACAATCATGGGGAAGACTGCTGACTTGACAGTTGTCCAAAAGACGACCATCGACACCTTGCACAAGGAGGGCAAGACACAAAAGGTCATCGCTAAAGAGGCTGGCTGTTCACAGAGCTCAGTGTCCAAGCACATTAATAGAGAGGCGAAGGGAAGGAAAAGATGTGGTCGAAAAAAGTGTACAAGCAAGAGAGATAACCGCACCCTGGAGAGGATTGTGAAACAAAACCCATTCAAAAATGTGGGGGAGATTCACAAAGAGTGGACTGCAGCTGGAGTGAGTGCTTCAAGAACCACCACACACAGACGTATGAAAGACATGGGTTTCTGCTGTCGCATTCCTTGTGTCAAGCCACTCTTGAACCACAGACAGCGTCAGAAGCGTCTTGCCTGGGCTAAAGAGAAACAGGACTGGACTGCTGGTGAGTGGTCCAAAGTCATGTTCTCTGATGAAAGTAAATTTTGCATTTCCTTTGGAAATCAAGGTCCCAGAGTCTGGAGGAAAAGAAGAGAGGCACTTCATCCACGTTGCTTGAAGTCCAGTGTAAAGTTTCCACAGTCAGTGATGGTTTGGGGTGCCATGTCATCTGCTGGTGTTGGTCCATTGTGTTTTCTGAGGTCCAGGGTCAACGCAGCCACATACCAGGAAGTTTTAAAGCACTTCATGCTTCCTGCAGCTGACCAACTTTTTGGAGATGCAGATTTCATTTTCCAACAGGACTTGGCACCTGCACACAGTGCCAAAGCTACCAGTACCTGGTTGAAGGACCATGGTATCCCTGTTCTTAATTGGCCAGCAAACTCTCCTGACCTTAACCCCATAGAAAATCTATGGGGTATTGTGAAGAAGAAGATGCAATACACCAGACCCAACAATTCAGAAGAGCTAAAAGCCACTATTAGAGCAACCTGGGCTATCATAACACCTGAGCAGTGCCACAGACTGATCGACTCCATGCCACGCCGCATTGCTGCAGTAATACAGGCCAAAGGAGGCCCAACTAAATACTGAGTGCTGTACATGCTCATACTTTTCATGTTCATACTTTTCAGTTGGCCAACATTTCTATAAATCCTTTGTTTTTATTGGTCTTCAGTAATATTCTAATTTTCTGATATGATGAATTTGAGATTTTCATTTGTTGTCATTTGTAATCATCAAAATTAAACAAAATAAACATCTGAAATATATGAGTTTGTATGTAATGTATGAATATAATATACAAGTTTCACTTTTTAAATGGAATTACTGAAATCAATCTACTTTTTCATGATATTCTAATTTTATGACCAGCACCTGTACTATTCCTTTAAAGGAATAGTACACCCAAAACATGATTAGCCTTCATTTTCTACTCACCTCCATGCTGAACAACACTCTGGAGTACTTTTTTGATATCTCAAATGCATCTGGAGATCTGGGAGGCTTCTTGCTGTCTGCTGACATTCAAATAATGGAGGTCCATGGCGCCCGAGACAGAAAGGTCCACAAAAACGTGTCAATATTCCTCCATACTGCTCGTCCAATGTAATCCAAGTGTCCTGAGTGGGTAGCATCCAGAATTTACTCGAAACGAAGTCATTTAGAATGTTTTTAGAGCATAAACAGTAGTGTATAGGATTTCCTAATAGCGCCCCCATGCGCGCTCACGATTCTACGGAAGCCGGCAGACCAAACCGGAAGGAAGTGCGCATTCAGCGTCTGGTCTGCCGATAATGCAAGCGTAGAAGAAGAAATGTGCTGTTTACCTGTGCAAAGAAAGAAACAACGAAAGAAAAATGTCTGAGGACTTCAGTGTTGAGGAAGAGCATGAGTTCTTTGCCGAGCTGAATGCGCTGGTTTGGTCTGCCGGCTTCCGTAGAATCGTGAGCGCGCATGGGGGCGCTATTAGGAAATCCTATACACTACTGTTTAGGCTCTAAAACGTTCTAAATGACTTCGTTTCGAGTAAATTCTGGATGCTACCCACTCAGGACACTTGGATTACATTGGACGAGCAGTATGGAGGAATATTGACAAGTTTTTGTGGACTTTTGTGGACCTTTCTGTCTCGGGCGCCATAGACCTCCATTATTTGAATGTCAGCAGACAGCAAGAAGTCTCCCAGATCTCCAGATGCATTTGAGATATCAAAAAAGTACTCCAGAGTGTTGTTCAGCATGGAGGTGAGTAGAAAATGAAGGCTAATCATGTTTTGGGTGTACTATTCCTTTAAGCTCATCCGTCATGACCTGGAATCCAGCAAACTGAAAATCTGCTGCCACCTGGTGGACACAGTGTGCAACAACAACCAAAGCTGAAGAGGATGTGAATTTCCAGTCAGTTCTTTTAAAGAAGAAAAATATTGTGATTATTAATATATGACTACTTATACTTTTACATTTTTGCTTGAACTGTTAACATAATTATTAATTATAGCAGTTCATGGACTCATGGCGTGGAATAACCATTATGATGTAAAAAATTTTTTTTGAAAGGTTAGAGTAGGGGTCATCGATCTTTTTAAAGGCTTAGAGCTACTTCATGGGTAGCGAGTCACAGGAAGGGCTACCAATACTGACCTATCAACTGGAGGGTTTAGCATTCACCTTAACTTCATACCTATATACATATTTTTGTTTCTATTAATTGAAAAAAAGAATAGATGCACTTTTTGATGTAGATAGAAATATTTATTAGTTCAAAGGAGCAAAACAGAATCTGATGCACACATTTTAATAAATAAACAATTTTGGAAAATTGCTTCTTTCATTTTACAGTCAGAACAAAAAAAAAAATTTTAATATTTAGTTTACAGCAAATATTGTTTGAGCAGCAAGATATTAAAACTTGAGAAAATGAAAATTAGGTAAGGTGAAATATTTAAGCAGTCAGTGGGAAATAACATAAACTACATGCATCCAGCAGCGCTTTTAAAAACTACCTACTCCAAGAATTCATCCTTTGAGATTAAAGGCTAAAGATTGAAAGGAAAACAGTAAAGGTTGTTTGACAATCATCAAATTTTAAAATAACTTTTCCTATTATTTTTATTCAATGTATAAAATGTTTTGTAGTGGTTGCACAGTTTAATAATTATGAGGAAGTTAAGACTGAAGTGTTTATTCAGAGTTAAACATGCATCATATACAGCTCTCATATTTTTGCCTGTGCATTTCTCTGAAGTGCATTTCAGAGGCTTGATGAGGTCATCTAATTCAAGTAGTGCAAAAAAAAAAAAAGCCTGTTTCCATCACTGCATGACTTCACCTACTGAGTACCATGGGGAGGCAGAAAAAAACGCCCTGGGTTGAATAAAGGAAAGATGCATATCCATAAAAAGCCATCTATCCATTTCCCTATAGATAACTGGTATTTATGAAGGAAACAAAAATCGCTTCAGTTTAGACACCTTTTAAGAGCCTATATGGGAACAGAAAAAGACAAAAGAACTGAATGAATCAATCCTACAGTCCAGCTTTTTGATGCATTTCCTTAGTGGTGAGTTCTGGAGGGCATCTAAATGGCTTTTTAATACAACTTTAAGACCAGAATGAGAATTTAGGGACAAGATCTTAAAGTTTTTTGCTGCTGGATCAGTTTTTTAGCCTAACATAGGCATCCATGTTGGAATTTACGTGTCCTAAACTGCTTCTTTTGATCATTTAAAATCCCATTTGGCTGTATGACCCAAATAAACAGGCACATCTGTTCATTTCTGAACAGCTTTCTGGAAACTTATTATTATGCAGAAACTTCTAGCACAACTTTCAGCTCTGGTCTTTCTTTAACATTGTTTTGTCCTGCTTGTTCCAAGTAGCTACATTGACTTGCAAGTGCACTCGGTTGTGATGTAAATGACGTTTATATCTGGGTCTGACTGAGAAGGCTTTCTGTAGCCGCTCTTCACTACAGATGTCACTAGTCGTCCATGTAATCATGACTATAATTTATAAATAAAACTAACAGTACACAATGGCATGACAAATATTCTGGCCTGGTAATGGCCTCCTGCTGTTACTCTCAGATAGACACGGCTAACATGTCCTGCACTGTGATTCATACAGACTGAATATGATGAAGCAATATGGATATTTGCATTTACACTCCTCTGCAAAGTGTTGCTGCTCACCAACAGCATCAGTGCTAACAGACGAATGCTGCGCTACGTTTACCCAACAGAACCTAAACAGTTATTTTAAAACAACAAGGTTGCCCTGCAGCTTGCAAAACAAACAAAACAAACAAAAAAACAGATGTTCTTTACTCTGACCTCAGCTCTCTGCAGATGGGTCAGAGGCATCGTTCAGCGTAGGCCACGATGAGACGTATAATCTGGGCAGAGTGCCCTCCATGAGCCTTTCCATCCACAGTCCCAGCCTATCCAGCTTGTGGTGGACCTCTATGCTCGTGGCTCTGCTTGAACCTCTTTTAGGGACGGCTCCGTCCTCCCTGGAATGAGAACGGGAGCGAGAGTGGGAGCTGGACCTGGATCTGGATCGCGATTTCCTCTTAGAGTCAGAGGTGTCGGATGATGAGTCGTTGGGGTCCTCCCCGGTGAAGACGGGTCTAAAGAGGCAAAAATATTTCTTGTAGCCGTTAAGGGCCAGGACATGGCCTGTGTAATCTGAAGACTCTTCGTCATCTGAGTGGTTTTCGCTGGGTGCAGCTGAACAGGCCGAGCGAAGGAGGGAAGGCATCCAGTGGCGGTGCTTGTCAGCATTCAGGAAGGAGAAGTGGAGGGTCTGCGTGCTGAGACAGGGAAACTATTTTAGGATTGACAGCAGATAGAAGCAACTTTTTAATGGGCATTTTGATGCTCAAGACTCACCCAGAGAAAGAGAAAACCTCCTTTGCAAACTTCCTGAGCAAAGCATTCTTGGAGGCGTTGGTGAGCACCAGGACAACGTTAATGTGACCTGGTCTCAGTCTGACCAGGTTACTGGTGTAGGTAATGTCTGTAAGCTCCGTCACCTCCACAAAGTCCTTCTTTGGAGGACGGCTGCACAAACCACAGGAAACAACAGAGGAGAGCACTGCTAAGTGAAGAGCAACAGGAAATATTATGCACCTGCAGATTAAAAATGTCTAACTACAAGGAGATTCATCCTATGTTAATATCCATGCATCCTTTAAATGTGTTAGTTGTAGATCATTTCAGCAAAAACCGTCTTGAAGATGAAAATCATACATATGGTTTATAGTTTGCAAAGTATAAAAAAAAAAATGTACAATATTATGCTCTATTATGAGGTTCCTAGTGCCTTTGGGAGCCCAAAATTCCCACAGCATCAAAGGTCCTCCTTCCATCCAGCTTTACTTTGTGTCAAAACAATCAGTGGTGATTGCTTTGGCCCATCGGACCAAAGCAGCGTTCTGATTAAAGTCTAAGCAGAGTCAAAATCCAAGCAATTACGTTAGTGATGGTTTGACCTTCTTGAAATGTTGAATGTTTCTAATGGCTGTAATGGTGACCTGGTGCTCCTCTTTGCTGTAGTTATCTGCTGCTAAGTCAAGGTTATTTTCATTCTCAAGGATAAATTATAAATGTGCTCAAATCTTTACATTTTATTTCCGTAAAGATGAAAGGATTAATCTAACATTCTTCTAAGTGTGACTGGGATGCAAAAGTGGCAAAATGAAAAGGTAATCTGCCACAAGGTGGCAGCAAACATAATTTATTCTCCAATCTGTGTTCCACAGCCCTAACTTCAGAGAGGCCAATTTGTACTCTGAAACCAGCTCGTCTGCGTGTGTGTCGCAGTTAAGGCAGATATGCCCTGCCCCCTCCCGCAGGCACTCTGCTGCACCTCTCTGAAATTGTAGGTGACCGCAGACAGTGCCACAGACAGGAGGCCTCTGATTGGTAAAACCTTCATCCGTTCTACACTACGCATATTTCCTGTTTGGTACCTTACCCGCTTATTTGTTTGTATGACCGCCATTGTGGAAAACGACTCGTGAAGATGGACCAGCTGGAAGAGCGAAGTGCGCGAGAACGCTGGGACCCTTTTTCCATCTGGATCCTCGCTCTTTTTCTCCCTCATGTCCCTCGATTGTCGGACAAACTTGCCCCCACTTCCTCACCGCCTCGGCCGTATCTAGACCCACAGCTAGTTCATGATTGTCCCTCTTGCGTTGTGGCGTGGAATAACAAGCTAACTGCGACACGCTGCTGCGGGAGTATAACCGGCCCTTCAGTGATACTAGAGCTGATATAAGAAATCATTAGAAAGAAACCAGGAACTGTTGATAGAAAAGAGACCAGCTGTAAAAAAGACCCTATTTCAACACTAATTACACAAAGTGGGAAAATCTACGCTGCTGATAAACTGTACTGTGAAAGTTTCTATTGGAAATCCATAGTTACTCCTTAACCATTGGCCTTCAACAAGGGCATCTGGTTCGTGCATCGGTTTAATTACAAAGCTAAGAGACTTTCTTCTGTAGGTTGAAATAAAAAATAATAAAAAAAACACCATACATAGATAATGAAGCGGTCCTCCTAATTGTCAATCATTCTGGTGATATGTTTATGTGAGGCCGTCCTACGTGCTCGTCCCATTTTTATTTACCGGTGGTGAGTCTGACATAGTGGACATCAATTAAAATCTTCTTTTGAAAAATAAGCTTGTATGAGCGATGCAAACAACAACTTTTACACAGAGCATGCAAGAGGAGAAATGGACTTGTGCACACGTTTGATAAGCGTTCCCTCTCAGGAACAAGTACAGGGTTGTGCATGTGCATTTTTTTTTTCTCAAAAACTTGAAAAAACCTAAATGAACAGTTCTGACTTTCGACAGCTCCTAAAATAAGTATAAGTCAGACTTTTCCAAACTTTTCAGCCTGTGACCGCAAAAACAATAATGCATCAAGCAGGTGAGCCCTGAAAAATACAGTTACTTCACGCTACATTCTTTTATGTATATGAAGTGAATTCATTAGTTTTTTTTTATATTTATATTTCATGACATTTAATTAATACATAATTTTAAATGCGTTTCTAATACTTTAAATTAACGTTTGATCATTTTATCAAATAATATCTGCATTTTCCAATTCAAATGTGGATGTTTTGTTTAAATCGTGTAGTAGATAAATGAATAACTGTTACATCTACTTATTTCATGGGACATTTATATTTATTTGGTTCTATTCATATTTTAGCCCTCAGGCATCACATCAAAATGATTTTGAAAGCTATCTTAAGATCCCCCAAGGTTCCCAACCCCCACTTTGGGAGCCCTGCAGTGAGTCATATTTTGGCTTCATCTTGTGCTTATTTCATCTTACTGACTCACCTTGAGGTGCTTGTTCT